ACTTGTACTGGTACCTGGAGTTATTCTTAGAAAAGAAGCACAAGGCTACTCGGGGTCAGGAGAAGACGCTGCAGCGATACTCACCGTCAGAAGCTGAACCATATCCACAGGTCTCTGCGAAACGGGGTGAGGAGACGGCTCCTGTTTGAGAGCGGACTGGGGCTCGGGGCGATTGAGGGGTAACCCCGGCGGGGCGCCGGGACCCGACGTCGTGGGGATAAACATGGATTGCTTGGGAACCGCCTGAGGTTGGTGCGGCGACGGAAGCTCCTGTTTCATGGAAATGGCGACGGGCGAAGGGTAGGAGGTCTGGCCCGTGTCCGCTTGTGCCCTCTGAAGGTGGACGTGAGGGTCCATGGGTGCCGCGTGTCTATTTACAGTGGGGTGGTGACTCTGTTCGGGTGCTGCTGCCGCTGGGCCCTTGGGATCCTGCGGGATCTGAGGAGTCTTGCTGCGGACGGGCTGGCTGGGGTGCGAGGGTTCGCCCTCCTGTAGACCCTGGGGAGCAGGTGGTGGGGGAAAAAGTCAAAATTTCAGGCTGCGGGCACGGCAGAACTCATTCATTCAACGATGAGGCTGCCAGGACACCACCAGAGAGCTGGTGGAGAAATCCCAGTGCATCTCCACACCAAACCAGTCCTGCTGCAGCGGTGCCTGGAGCAGCCCCCCTTCCAAAGCCACCCCACCAGCCTCTTACCCCAGCGCTGAAATGTATCCCCCAAATCCCGCCCCAAGCCCATCCTTGGCCACGCCGAGGATGTCTGACCCACGTGCCACCTCGATGGTGACAATTCTCCCCAACACCTCTACGTCTAGAAACCTGTAGGGAGGTCTGAGTCCTAGAGGAGTTAAGAAAACAGGATTTTTTAGCTTTCTCTAATGCCAAGCAGCATCCAAATCCCATTTCCCAAACAAAAATGGCTCCTCTCGTGCATTGAGCTTAAGCAGGGCTTGGAGACTAACCACAGAGCGCTGAACTCAGCTCCCGCGGCCACACAGAGCCACGCTGGGGATTTAAGTAGCTTGAAGCACTCCAGATTTCACGCAGAAGGAGAAGAAAGGATTTCTCACCTGAGATGGGGTCATGCTCCGGGAAGGCAACCCGATCGGCGAAGCACCCGGGAACTGCGGATGCCCGAGTTGTGCCGCCGTGTGGTAATTCCTCATGTCGCCGTACACAGACCGATAATCGTGAAAGGAGCTCCCCGCGGGGTGCATGATCTGTACCCCATGCGGTACCACCACCGGCTGCGTCAAAGGCAGTCCAGGCAGCTGGCTGCTGGAGGGGACGTGCTGTGGGGAGAGTGAGCCATCTTGCTTTCGGAAGATTTGGGCGTCTCTTTGCCGGGTTGTGGGGTCTTACTGACGGGGGGAGTTTTCACGGCCCCTTCAGGCGTTCGGGATTGTCTCGTTTCCGAGTGATGCTCGCCCACGGCGGCCATGTGCGGGTGCATGATCATCCGCACGTCCCGCGGAACGTTGTACTGGTCGAGGCGGATGCTCGTGGGGTGCATGCGGTAATCCGGCTGCATCACCAGCACGTCGGACTGAACCGGGGCCGGCCCCCGGCACACCGTGGTGTGGTGGTAGTGCATCTCCTCCTCGGGAGGATGCTGAGAAGATAGAGGAGGCATGACGATGTCTCGTATTGGAGCGGGCTGGGGCGTGCTGGATCGCTGAGGTTTGATCTCCATCTGGGGTTGGAGAGGAGCTCTGGGGGAGTGGAGCGATTCCGGGCGGATGCCGTAAGGGATTCCGGAGAGAGGAGGGGTGTTCATTCTCACCTCGCCTTGGGACAGATGGCCCAAGGACACAGTCTGCGTTACGCTGTGAGGGGGCATGATAACAGATTGTTCGGGATGCATGCTGGATATGTACTGAGAAACGGGAATTCCCGGCGCCAGCATGACCGGCGTACTGCTCGATAAAGCCGGTGATGAGGTACTGCCGGGATGACAAGCCCGGGGGAACGGCGACGGCGAGTGCCCGCTGGTACGGGGCGAGTGCGGCTCCTGTTTGGTGACCCCCAAGTGGGAAATAGCCCGGTCGGTCGGCGTGCTGGATCCTGAGCTGACGTGGTTCACTTCCGAATGCATTTTCCCCGAGAGGGAAGAGTGGTGAGGACTGACTCCAGGACTCAAGTTGGAGGATTGCAGAGTCTTGGTCTCCACTTTCAGAGCAGCTGGATCAGACAGTTTTTTGTTCACAACCATCTGGTTGTGGACGAGTACGGGCGGAGTGTTCACAGTCTGCGTGAGGACTTTACCGGGCTGAGACGCCGGAGGCTGGACAGAAAGGTGGGACGAGTCGGACTTCTCCAGCGCGGTGCGCTCTTGTTTAACCGAGGAGATGACGGGCGACGTGTTATAAGGTTGCGTTCCGAGTACCAAAGAAGAATGGGTGGAAACCGTCCCGTAGCCCGCCGAGGTCTGGGAGCCTTTCGGGATCGGCTGAGATGGTGTGATAGGCTCCTGTTTAATCTGCGACTTGGACACAGACTGCTGGAACTCGATGTCCACAGCGCTGGCCGGGGGAATCTGGCTGATCTTGGCACTAATTCGTTGAGGGCCTTCTGTCTTCTGCCCCGAGTAACTCAGAAGCACAACGCCCTCCGAGGTGTTCACCCGCAGCCCCGGACTGGAGCCAGTCTCTACAGGCCTCTCCTCAATAATAGACATCGATCCGGGATGAAACCTACTGTTATCATTTGTGCTTGATCTCTGCTTAAATTTCGGCGAGGGGGCGTTGACGAGACACGTCTGGGTTTGGGGAGCTTGCTTCACCAAGGTGATCCTCGGAGCCTCCTCCAGATCCACGCTGTGCGGCATCCTGCTGATAACAGAAGTGGCTTTGGGAGAAATCACCGTGCTGATCTTTTCCTTCTCACTGAACACCGGTGCTTCGGCCACCGGTGGGTCCAAGGCGTTGGTGACAGGAACCGCTGGCTTCTCCTCCGAAACCGGTTTGATGGCCTCTACCGCGGGGTGGAGGGGTGCCTCCTCCAACCGAGGTGCGCTCACCGGCTCAGCGTGCGTCGTTGTCACGTGCGTGGAGGTGATGCTCGTCGCCGAGACGTACTTGGGCTCCATGAGTATCTTCCTCAAAGTGCTGGAGTTCGTATCGATATCCGATGCCTTGGTGTCCGGTGGGAGAGCGGGGGGGGGC